TTGTTGTATGAAATTGTCCACGAAGCATGAGAACTAAAAGCGCTGCCTTTTTATTTTCTAAGGATGTTTACTACACTCATTCCAAAATCAAAGGATAATGCTAAACCTGGGGATGTTTCAGATTATCGGCCCATTACATCGCGCAATCTAGATTATAAAAACGTTTTGCTAAAGTTATAGCAAGACGATAGAAAAACGTCGTGCGTGATTTCATAGGGGATTATCAAACGCACGGTATGAAGGAAGAAACGAGTCAGACGAACATTCATGTTACGCGTAGTGTGGTAGAGCACTGTAAAAGAAATGCAAACCGAGTCGCAATGCTGCAAATCGACCTGGAAAAAGCGTTCGATTGTGTGAGGCATACATTTTTTTCTGATATTTTGGCTCATGCTGTAGTTGTAAAAGTATTACTAAAGGGTGTGAAGATGTCATACATTGGATTTTCTACACGTTTAATTCTGAACAGCTCCGAAAGAAAAGGTATTCCCGTCGCTTCTTTTGTACGACAGGGCTGTCCTATATGTCCTTTGTTGTTTAACTTGTATCTGGAACCATTTTGTTTAAGCATTATTTCTAGTCAACAGTGTCATGAGATTAGGTTGCACGCCGTTGAGGTAATGGTTTGAGCGTACGAAGATAATATTACGGTGTTTTGTAAAAACGAGAAAAGATTAAGTGACGTACTTACTATCAAACGATATCTCTGTGAGGCTAAGGGCGCTACAGTAAACTGGCAAAATTGTAACGGTTTTTGGCATAACGGATGGGCCGAAAAACCAGCTCAGTTTGAAGGCATTACGTGGTGTGAAAGACCTTGAAATTATTTTTGCGTGCCTTTATGTCACCACCGCATAAGTAACCCATACTGGTCAGAAGTGGCAGAAAACATAAAAGACCGTGCCAACAAGTGGGTCTGCCGGGATTTTTTCTCTTCGCAATGTCGAGTTCGTGTAATATTTTTTGGATTGCTAAGTTGTCGTACGTGTTGCAAGTTCTATATTGTGTTAGAACAAATGTACAACGGTTCCACGGATTGTTTTCGACCTTTATTTGGAAATTATCATGAGAGCCAATGCTACGCAACAACTTTTCCGTCGAGTAAGTCAAGAGGGAGTTGGACTACAACAATTGTTTGTTAGGCAGCTCGTGTCAAGGTTTTGTTTTCTTAGGGGCCAGGAGTTGTTTACGTACCATTATTCAAACTAAGCTGTCGCCATATTCACCGTATTTTGTCGTATCGACATGCGAAGAGCCGCTGCCAAGACTTTTAGGCTGTATTAGGGAAGTCATATATGCTTTCAACTTTATCAGTGTGCGTTTCTCCCTTCAATATTTGTCCCGTGTTACACGGAAACGTCTCACGCGGGATCTTTTGGAAACATTGTTTTCAGCACCCTTGTGTCGATCGCTGTATCGGAACTGTCCTGGACAGGATGTTCTGTGTCGCGTGAAATCATGTGTATTCCACAGGCAGCAAAGCCAATATTTTTCAAGCTCCACAGTTCTATACTAACTGCGAAGGTAAGGTTGGACTCAATGGGCATACTTGTACCTTGGTCTGCAAACTGCCTCCTTTGTAAGCAGCCTGAGAGAATTGAACGCGTCTTTATTGACTTTTGGGATGTAGTCTTTTTTTTCTGGGACGTGCTAAAGAGGACTTTAACAAAGGACATGGTTTTCAGCCAAAGGGTTGTTTTTTTCAGGTGAAGAAAAATGACCTTGTACCTTATGATACATTCGTGCTCTGAGGCCTGTGAGTTTTTTGGAAGTCCCGCATGGCTCTCAGGTACGCCGATGTCAGCACGAAATTTGTATGCTATTATGTTTACGAGATTGTTGCTCATGTTAAGAGCGTTTACCAAACGCGCGAAGAAGTGCCAGGTTGGTGCTCGCAGCTAGACGTCCTTCTAAAAATGGAGGTTTGAAAACATACCCAGAAGCACATATGGGCCATTATTTTATTCTCATAACATGAATCACTGTAAATATTTCATGAAATAAAAAAAGGTACGTGGCCGATCGGTTATCGTGCTTGGCTCCCACGCAAAGGGCCGAGGTTCGATGCTTGGGAGCGGTCGCACCTTGTTGTGATTTCTGTAAACGTCGAGTGCCGGTAAATTCGAGAACTCCCTTGCTTGTTCGAGGACCGCATTCTCTACGCGCCGAATATACTAGGCCGATATTTCCAAAGGCCCACGCTTGTATATAAGGAACTCCGCGTGGCGAGCCGGAGTCAGTCTCGCCTCAGCGCTCGATCGTACTGTTACGCTGCCATCGACAAGTGCGACGCTAGCCTTCTATTTTGTTTTGGGCACAAGTTCACCATATTAAACGTTTAGTTTTCTTCGGTCACTCGTCGCGTCATTAATTGTCATTCGTTACAATATGTCTGTGTTCGTCCCAACTAAATGTTTTTATTCGTGCTTTCTTTGTGTAAGTACGCGTCATGTGACTTCTTGCGTAGCAAAGATTATGCACCTGCGTCATTGTGTAGGTTCAATCCGTCCAAAAGAAAACAGCGTAAAAAGTTGCACCAAGAGCGCCGCATCTGCACTTGGCTCGACGTTCTCTTTACAAAACGTCACCTGTTTTGTTTTAGCGTCAGCTAGTGTACTGGATTCTTTTTTTTAATGAGGATGAAAAACAGAACTGTTAAAAACCAAGGACTTCATTGTGCTTCACGTCTGGCGCTAAAAGCCAGAGTGAACACTATTCGTTTTTATACCAGCCGGATCGCAGGTGTTCCTGGGGTAAACTCTATTCGTTTTGTACTGTGGAATAGAGCGAAGCACGAGCTGGATCGTCGGTGTTTTCTTGAGAAGGCTGATGAATTTACGGCTACCCCCGGCGAAGGTAATGTCCAACACTTAAGAAACTTCTACATTGCATTTAGATGACGGGAATAGTAATTTGCGTTAAAAGAGTGAAACTTTTTGTTTAAGAAAAAGGGGAGGGGGTTTAATTAAAAAAAAAAAAAGAAAATTAGTTACGAAGCAGTAATTGTGGTTACCCAAGTACTGAGTTGCTAAATATTAGTCAGTAACAACTTAAGCAACGCAGGGCGAAGCGAGTCCATAGCATCTCAATATCGGCCCGCAGCCAATGATATTGCAGGTTTAGCCGACAACAAGGCCGAACAACCAATCACGAAGCAGTAGGCACGAACGTTACAGGCCACGCCCTGAGGTTTGCAGGTACTATGGATCCTGGGTTCAATCTCCACCCCTGCCTGTTTCGATCTGGATGAGCATCGTACCGGCGTGCGGTCGTGTATCACTACTGTGTGGTGCACGTTAAAAAGCTCAGGCTAGCGGTTGCACTGCACTGGCTAACTTTCTCATCTACAGCGAGTGACTTGTCGCAACTTTGAAATGGCTGACCAACTACATGCTGTCTAAATATCCATACAACCCCAAATATTATTTGCCGGTACGACCTCTGGGCGCCGCCATCTTGCTTCTGGTGTGGGTGCATCGTCTGATAGTCAAGCATTGCTGAGGCGTACCCACGGCCTCAGCAATGCTTGACTATCAGACGATCTGTTCACAGCCGAAACAAGATGGCGGCGCTTAGAGGCCCTAATTGCAAAGGCCTATAGTAAACCTTCGATATTTTTTGTCTGGTATCTCACTCAGACCAGGAAAATATTAGTAGTATAATAAGTGGGTCAAAGCTTTCAAAACTCCGGGAAAAAGAAAATTAGCGTTACGCCGTCCGGGAAGATGAAATTAAGCTTATATATTTTTCAATATACTCAAGGAGTTTTTAATACATTTTTTTTTAATTATGAATGCATACTGAAACATAAGTTCAGTTATGTGCTAGAGCCTGCATATAAAGAAAACGCAAAATGAAGATATAATGTACTATGCATCCGACACTTGTCAGCTGTTACACGGAAGCTGGGGTCATTGGATTCGTACTGATAGCGCCGCGTAGCAAACGCTTCCCAAAGGACTGCGGATTAACTGTGTGAGGGCGAGTGCTGATCGGAGTCGTGATAGACCATCGTGCGGAGAAGGAGCTGTCACGCGACAATGCGTGTACGAAGCAGCCGACATTCGCGCGTTACACCTGACAAGGTGCCTTTCAAATTCAATTTCAATTTTCATTTTAAAGCCAGAGTGCGTAATGCTTAATAAGAGATGAGGAAAAAAAACTGCGATAACGCATTCTGACAGGGCCCCTGCCACTCACATTTAACAGGTCGGCGAGCCGAAAAGTGAAAAAAAAAATAAAGTATTTCAAGAAGAATTAGCAAGTTATATACAAAACTTAATACGCAAGTAAAGGGGGGAAAAAAAAGAAAAAGATTGGTATACAACGCTTTTCTGTTTGGAAGCGCAATGTGAATGTTTTGTTCTTCTAGGAAAGTTCAATATTCTGGGTAGTGTGTACTAAAGACCCCTGAACCCCGTAGTTTGTTTTAGGACGTGGCATTTGACTTGGCAGAATGCTTTCCCTACAAATCCTACGTTATAATCCGAGTCCAACTCTTTGATCATTCTGCGTGTTTTTTTTACCCATAAGGCACGCTCTTTGTAGTGCCTATGCATTATATACGTATATCGACTGCACAAATTCCTCTAGAAGACGGATTGAAAAACGAGATATAAAACAGGATTGAAAGCTTTTTGTTTCACAGCACCTACACTGACGCAGCGGAAAACGAGGCGGTCTAAATAAAAAAGACAGCGGCAGGTGTCCCCAAATAGCGCTTTGATGCAGGCTGTTTTAAGCTGCCTACATTTTACGTCCCTGCGGCTAATAAAAACAGTCGAGAAAAACGTTGCAGGTTCACAGCGACAAACACCATTCTGCGAGGTCGAACTGTTGTCACGTGTTGTTTTTCTGCGGCTAGATAGGTTAAGGACGGCCCGTTTTGAGAAGAAAAAAAAAAAAAAAAACAGCCGCAAACTGTGAAAATACACTGAAGTTGCAGATCGTGTAAGACTAACTTACTATCGCCATTTGCCAACGCCATTCCACAGATCCCAATGTCTGCCACTGTGAGTGCTTCGGGGGAAAGTAGTCTCCTTGTTCGTTCGGTGAGCGCAAGCTATTCAGGCCAACTCGGTAAGCATTTTGTTTTAAGTTTTTGATTCGCCAAGCCCTCAAGGCGTAGTAATAAGATAGCCTACTCCGTCGTTTCATTGTTCTACCCTGATCTAATTACTGCATGAAATTTGGAGATAGCTGTGTAATATCTGTGTCCGTTTTTCTTCCATATAAAAATAATGGCAATACAATTTATTGTTTAATGCAAGTGAGATAAAAAAGCGAACGAAAAATTGCTTGTTTACCAATCTCATATTAGATTATACTTGACAAGCAGGATGTGCGCACACTTCGTTACACCTCACGTCCAAATGCCGCTGAGAGTTCATGAAACCGATCAAAAAACGTAAAAAGTGAAAGCCACTGGGCTTTCCCAGTACACGATTCGTTTAGCGGTTATAGAACACGTACAGAGACATGACGAACACCTTGTTCGTGCGCTTTTGATCCTATTTGATTGTTCCCATGGGCTCGTATAGCGCCTGCAGCGTCGGGACTCAAAGGCTGACGACCTGACTCGAGGTTCTTCAAGGCAGAAGATCCTGTTCATAAAGGGGGAGGAGGAAACTGGCAACGGTAGACAGGGTACAAGAGGGGAGAGGAGGAAGCGGGAGAAAAGTGGAGAGCTCGAACTGCTCGTCGGTCTTTTAGGGTAAACGAAGTAAATGGCGGTGCAAGTTCGTCTCCTCCTGCTCATCTCGTGCCTTTGTTTACCCCCCAAATGAACCAACGTGCGTTTGTTTTTTCCCCGGCTTCGATCAATGACGGCACCAGCTTTGCTGCCTCTTCAACGTAGCGTGTGGGGACTTTCTATTGTCTTACTATCGCTCAATAGCCAATGAGACTCCAGCATTAGAAAACCAAACAACGAATCGGGATGAAAGGGAGAGTGAAGATAAAACTTCACAGCCCGCGTGTTTTAAGCTCTCACGTGACGACCAGGATTTGCGTCGCCGTGATTGGAGGGATTTACTTCGCCGTGAAGCGGCAATTGGACGGACATTATCATTGTACAGGAAGCTAAGGTTTGGCCAATCGTGAATGCCGACTACAGCGGCGCTTTTGGTCGCGCATGTCGCAAATAGTCTTCTCTTTTTTCTATGATAAAAATGCAACACGAGCTGCCATCCAGTTATGTACAGAGCCCGAAACTCCTGACTGTGCGGGAAGAGAGAGTTTGTTATATACACGGGTCTCGTTATTCACCCCAAATGGGTCAAGTACTGTCCAATGTTTTTATACTTTACTGATCCCCCCCCCCCCCCTTCCCCAGGGAATTTCTGGAGCAGAAGAAAGACACCGCATGAACTTTTATTACGGTTTACAATAGAGAAGTAGGGTGCGGTTTATTACGGATGAGAAGGGCGCGCATTCTTTTACCACAGAAACATAAAGAAATGTAGGCCACATCAGGAATTGCTACTCTCCATATGCCCGTGTGTCTACTCCTACGCTGAACACAAAACCCAGCGGTCTCACCTGAAAAACCTTCACGAATAACATTGCCATAGAAAACGCTTGTAAAGCTTCGAATAATTTTCATTAAATATACAACTTACAACTACTGCAAAGATAACCCATGACCAAATGCCCTCGAGTCAAAAATGACGGTGCTTTTCCGTAAATGTGGTGCGTCACCCGCAGCTACTTTAGACCAATAGGGGCGTGCTCGTTTGCGTGTGGAACGCGTCATGGGTACAAAATGTCAACGCGTCGTCGGCATACAATAGAAAACGGTCGTGCATGAGTAAGTCGCAATACCTACCACTTAAAACTTTGACCCCTTAAATTTCACTACGCTCTTTGATAGTGAACGGGACTCGACATGCGGAACGTTCTGCTCAAATGTTTTAATGTTTTAGCATTAGTACCCACATGACAGGGAAGAGCTGTCGGCGTCTGTCTGCGGACAAAAACAGTGGAAGAGGAAGCGCGCCGCGTAGAGGGGAGGAGAGTAGTGAAGGTCAAAGGGGAGGGGGAGGTGACGTCACGGGGCGGAATCCAATGGGCGCGCGGATGCTGGGACGAGTCTGAAGTTGCAGCAGCATCAGCCAGCGGATGCCGCAGCTAACCGTGCAAGGCGGGCGAACGACACAGAGGAGCGGGAGCAGCGCCTAGCTTGGCTGGCCGAAATGCAGCGCAAGAATCAGCAATCCGACGCGGGTCGGCGTACGACAGAAGCCGTAGAACATTAAAGGAAAATCTATTCGTGGACCCCCAGGGAATGGGTTAGCATGACCCTTGGGAAACGGAAAAGACGGCCCCCTTTAGGAAACGCTAACACTGACCCCTTAAGGAAGCCAAAAAATAGGCAGCAAGAAATAGAGGAAGTTAAAGAAAGCCAAAGCAGTAAAGTAAAGGGGTCAGACGTTAGAGTTTCCCAAAGGTCATGCTGACGCATTCCCAAAGGATCCACCCATGGATCCTTAGAGAATGCTTTCTTTGTTTGGTAAAATTACATTTTTCCCTTCTCGGCTATGAGACTATTTTCTTCATAAGGTAGTGGCCATTTATATCTCTGGGCTCTGCAGAAAACTAGACAGAGGATTGTTTAACATGAGTCTGAAGGAGCACTAAGAAAGCCAATATCAACATTGCCTTGAAAAATAAACACAGTAAGTTAAAATTTTAGCATTATATTAGCTCATCAAATATCATGCTCAATATTTGATTGAAGGGACCGTTTTTAGTTTTTTTTAATTGCGGTTGTTGGTTGTTCGTGCTTTCTTTGAGCAGTGCTTAGAAGGATAAAAAATGCCGACAGTGAGAATAGGAACTCGACCCGACATACACGCTTAGTTCCGCTTACTTGTGTATGTCGTGTCGTCCTCCTGTTGTCTCAATGCCGTTAGTAGTAATCCTTTGCGGTGCAGTTCAATCAAAGCATTTCATATATGCTCGTCAGACACTCTCCTACTTTTATAGTTGTCGACATTAGTTATCCGCACACTCTGTGAGAAAATATAATAGAGGGAGTATACGTTTCTGTTTCGAGGGTGCATCCTTGACCTGCACTCACTATGAGTCTGACGAAAGTGCAGGACCCGCAGCACTCGAGGAGGAGGAGGAGAAACCAGAAACTGGCATGGACAAGACCCGGTTGGCCCTCGTGCTGATGGGAGCGGGTTTGGTGGTTGCAGTGATCGTCATTATCATCCTCTCCGTCGTCCTCGTTGAGCCCTCCCCAAAGTGCGATGTGAGAAGGTCCACAATACTTACTCCCAGCCTTGTACATTTTAATCGAAAAAAGTAATCGATTATTATTACTATTTTTTTTAAAAGTATTCAATTAGACTACTTCATTACTTGAAAGCAAGTGTAACTGACCATTGGTTGAAAAAGTAACCGTTACTTTTCGAGTATTTCAAATTTCCAAAACAGCATATCTTTCTGCCGGTTTCCAAAACGGGCCTTTCGTACTGTTCATCATTGGATTAGAATCATCGAATTACAAACTACTCATTTTCTAGATCCATTACCTTTGTTAGACACTGCCCCTATCAGAGACTTGGTATGAGTATTCTTTGGAAAGAGGGTTGTGGGAACATACGGCGCCATCAGGTAGGGGGGGAGAAGGGGATTAGTCACAGTTACAAGTCTGTGTATTACTTTCAAAAGTAATGGGATTTCTCTTATGACTAGTGCCTAACAGAGGTAAACAAATCATGGGATATTAACTTTAAAAATTTCTCGATGGCAAGTAATTTGAATACTTGCAATGAATACCGTACCAGTCTGCATAACCCCCGTGTTCTTTCCCCTTGCAATTCGTGCCTTTTACGTTCTTTTGGTGTGTCACATGACGTACGTTCGAAGGTTCATTATTTGCAAAACAAAAGTTCATGGGAGTTCTAGACACTTCGCTCACGCGGGAACCCGGATTTCGTTATTCCTGTTCATTTCCAGCCGCTTCGGCGGCTCAGAGGCAAAGTGCCTGCCTACGTTGGTTCAGGGGGCCGAATACAAATCCCGACCAAGGTGTCCGCAATTCGACAGAGGCTTATTGCGGAAAAGGAACCTGCACACAATACAAAAACCTAACTTTTTTTAAAGCAAAATTAAAGTTAATAGTGAACAAAGCAATGGAGCACACAAAAGAAACTAAAGCCTAACATGCCCGAATACATGTGCGTCAGTCCCCCGTTATTTTGCGCCTTTTTCTATTTCGTCCTTCGCGACATTCGCCAAACCTTAAAGCTTGAGTTGTCAAAAATGCCCTTTGTGCATGAAGGACATTTTGGTATTAGCTCGACGGTTTTAAATGAAAACTTTAGCTAATACTGCACTGCAACTTCCAATATCAGATATAGTTTCTTTAAAATATTCTCTCCACGTCATTTACATGATCTTAATCTCATAATATTCTGTTTATATCAAAACAACTCAAACAATGCGTTTTTTAAAGAAATAACATTACGGTTCGACGCCGTTTTGTAATATCTTTAGTCCTCTTTGTTAATTCGCTGGTTTTTGTGGTCCAAACCATGCACATTATTTCTTAGCAACCACGATGTGTGCGCATTTTGTTGCGACGTAACTTTACACTTGAGATGTAAAGATACTTTTGGAACCCTGGTGAATCTGCACTAAAGTTGTTATTCTGCGGAATATTAAAAAAAAATGCACATGCTTATGTGAACTATAAAAATTATGAATTTGGTCAAGAACACTCGCTGTGTTTCATTGTTTTTATACGATTAATTACTAAAATAACGTGCTTTATATTGATGAATTTTTGCCCCTGAAGCTTTCCTGAAAAAATAGCGTGGCGGTTTGGCCGCGCCATTTCTGTTGAAATATGTTAGCTGACTCATAGTACTTGTTTAAACTTTGATATGTGTGATCAGCTCCGCTCTTTAGCCGCAATACATATTTTGACCGTGTTACCAAAGTATAGTAGCAGACACAAGGCAATTTTCTAGGTTCTGCTTTCTTCGAGAGACTTTGCACGTCGAACATTGCTCTACGTGCACATTCTTTTACAAGAAATTGCCTTCCGTCTCCAGAAAATTGAGTGGAGTAGCTCGTATAAATTATAGAAGTGTTGGCCATTTAATGATGCTTTCGACAGTGGGTTAAAAGAGGATTTCGCACAAAAACAATCTAGAAAAAAGGCAATTTCTTTTATTTTATGGAAGACAATAAAATATATGGTGAATAAACGTTCTGCAGTCTAGTTCCCATAGGATTCTATCTATCGCTGCCTAAACGTTAGTGTTAAAGTAATAGTGTCAAATATTCAACAGGTGCGGTTCCAGCTTACGTTGTTGAGAGTGGAACTCTTGGCTAGTTGATATCATTGAGATACAAAAAAGTGTTTCCAATTCAAGTCTACCATTAGGTACCCTGCATGATCGCGGACAATATAAACGCAGGGACATAAGCCAAAGCTTCTTACATAGGGACATAGGTTACAGTTTAGTCTTAGAAAAATTTTTATGATTGTGAGCAATCAGTAAAATCTGCGCAGGCTTTAATGGAAACAGTGTTTTCCATCTCAAGTTTTGACGATTTTGAGGACCAGAGTTTCAATAACAAGCCAAAACAATGGCAATTTACTAACTTTACAATTCAGTGGGAACCTGCAGCCAAAGTTCACGCTAATGACACTTGTATACTGCCACCTTTTTTGTACTGGATTCCCAATGTATCAAAACATGTCAGTAAACAAACAGCGTTTGTGACGCAGGACGACGGGTCGTTGATTACGCCGTCGTACAGACTGCAGGACAGCGTTGCCGTTACAGAAGGCCTCAGCGGTATTCGCCGAGAGAACCTGAAGGAGTACCATCGGTATAGTATGATTTGCTTATTACGTTTCAGCGAAGACTTCTATAAACGACGGTTACAGGGTATTGACAATGGACCCTAGCGCCTTAAATTTAAAGGAAAAAGAAATGGCATACCCTGAGGCTGGGAGAGAAAAAAAAAAGACACATCGGAGATAAAATTTTGGTAATTCCGAGACTAGGGTTTACCAAAATGCTCAATGTTCACATACTAGCTTGATCCTTAACCATTGCTTAGTTACATCCGAGATGCGTGTGTGCTGTATTCTTCTTTTATGCGTTTTCCTTTTCTTTTCCTGTATCTGGTCTCTACGTCAACGTTTCACCAACTGGCCTGCGCGCTCACCAATCTCCCCCCCCCCCCCCTCAAAAAAAAAGGAGAAATTGGCGCGAGCACATCGAAAGTTTAAACGTGCACCAAATTTATATTTAGATAGTGCATTTCATATGGTGAAATTGTAAGTGTAGCCGTTTCCTGTAAAACAATAACAATAACAAACATGTCAAGATAAAAGTCGAACGTGTTCACAGCCGGCCGAGTTTACGGTGAAGCGGTAATTTTTAAAGCGCCGGATGGATGTTATAAAGGAGTACCGCCAAGCTGGTGCATTCTGGGACAAAGTTGAGTCAAAGATGGCGGAGCGTCGCCGCCAATCTAGTTTTTCGCGGCGGCGCGACGCCGGCTTCTACAGTAGACCAATAGGAGTGTGCCCGCAAGTGGCGGCGCGTCGCCGGCAGCTACCACAGACCAATTGAGCGTGTGCGTCTGGATGTGGAATGCGGCATGAGCCAAAAAGGTGACAAGTCGACGGCGTTCAATAGGAGCGGCCGCGGCACGAGCAATCAATAATAGGACTTGAAAAAGTTAGCATATCCAGTGCTTTAGTAAATTCTAACTTGGGGCGCCATCTTCCGATGGCGCATCGAGCAGACGACGGGTATAGAAATTGCTTGGGGTTTGTCCAGTCGGTTTTTCATGCCTGGATTAGGCTGAGCTGCGAAGGACTACGAATAAGGACAGTAAGTCTAAAAATACGACGCGGCATAGACCAATAAGCAGACTAACACTTTTATTTTCCCTTCTACACAAAAGCTTTATTCTTTATATTTATGTTTTTTCACTTCCCTCTCCTTTTTTTCTCGTTCTTCTCTTGTCTCGTTTTCCCCCGCAATTTTGTGAAAGGAAAACTAAACAATTAGTTCCCGATTGTTTCTGTTTGTCGCGGCGTCTTTCTAATCTCAGTGTCATCATTTGTAATTCTTGGCAGCGCCATTTTAACGAAGCAGACGACGAGCTCGCTTCGACATCGGAAGATTGCGTCGCCAGCACATGGCAGTAAGCAAACGTACATTAAACAAACATTTTAACGAGATGCAATAGAAACCTTTTTCAAAAGTCTCTCAGGCAACATTGATGACCTCGGTTCCTTCGCCACGAAGCCCGTGATTGGATCCGAGTACTCGTCGAACGCTGGCGTAGCGCTCGTGTCCAATACGTGCCGAGCCGAGTGCACGCCGAGCGCTGATGTAGCCCTCGTGTCCATTGCATGCATGCTCAGAGTACGTGCTCGAACAATGCCGAACCTGGCTAACTGGCGCATTTCCAAACGCACTCAATACATTTGTTTCACCTCAGATTCCTCTCGGAAAAGCCCCATCCTTCCGGAAGCGAACGCGACGGGGTGGACATCGTCAACTTTCTCGAGAATTCACTGCGGGAAAGCGGCTTTGACGAGGTCAAGAAGGTGCCTTACCTCCTGGTACACCCTCTGCCGGATCCCGACCATCCAAACAGCGTGAGTGAATTCCAGTGGTTTTCCCTTCTGAAGGTGCGCGTTTTACACGCTACGGGCCATACTAGTAGCCGCACTTCTTATGAACAAGGCCCCACGTATACTTTCCTGCAGAACATGCATACAGCAATCATCGAATTAGGCATATAAATAAAGGCAACAAACAACAAGTATGAGGACACAATCCTCCATAAAAATGCAGTCTGAGCAGGTAGCATTTTTGCGTGAAGACGTTATTTCTGTTTCGTAGATTGCTGCATTGTTTTGCAGCTCGCGGTGTATCGCTATCTCCGTGCTCCACGAGAAAGCAGCCCCACAGACTTTGTTCCTGAAATGCGTGCCTATTGCTCGAGCAAATTGGGCAGAAAAGAAATGAATATGCCACTTTTTTAGAGCGCAGCTCTTAGGCGCCCGTTTCCGGCTTGAGCGGCGTCGCCGTCGCCGTCGCCGTCGCCGTCGCCGTCGGCGTAACCGCGCGGTGCATTATGGGTAAATTGCCCCACTAAATTTAGCCGAAAAATTTCCCCGCTGAATCTAGCGGAACAACTTTCCCGCTAAATCTAGCGGAAAAATGTCCCCGCTAAGCCTAGCGGAAATTTTTTCTGAGGGGTCACGTGATCCCCCCGAGGTCACGTGACCCCACGTGACCTTGGAAAGGCGGTCACGTGACCGTGGTCACGTGACCCCACCAAGGTCACGTGACCTCAGGGGGGGTCGCGTGACCTTGGTGGCCTTCGCACCTCCTGGTCAAGAGCTGAGCTCTAATTCGGCGTTACAGGGAGTTGTAAACGACTTTTTTAGTGGTATACGTATACAGTAATGTTTTACTACCCTTGAGTACGATGGTAGTGCTTGTATCAAGTTACCAACTCCACAGCGCACAATTAGCACACACACTAGTATTAAAGAAAAGCAGAACGTACACACCGTGCTGAACACTCAACTCTCTTTAGTATTTCGTCTTCGTTTTTTTTTTTACGCCTTTAAACCGATACTCAAATTGTCCGCCATTATGCCCTTGTGACCATGGTAACTCTTCGTTTCCTAACAGGGTGAGAGAAAGAGTACAAACACATTTATCTTCAAGCCTAACGATATGTTCGTCTCTCTGGTCATTTGGTTACCATGCCTGTTTGGGATGCCGCAACTGTGTAGACGTGCCGCACACCAGCAATTCCAGCAGTAAAGTCCTAGATGCCTAGACTTTCTACAGGCGATGTTGTTGTGTTCGCGGAGTTGATAATTAAGACACCGTCCGGTCTGCCCAACGTATATTTTCGACATGAAAGGCGAAAGGAGTACACCACTACTTCTGTGCACTAAACAAGGCTGGTATGGTGTTTGTAGTGCAGCTCACTGGTATCTGTGAAGGTGTGTTTACTTTTTTTTTAACAATTTGGCAAGCTTGTTTTGAGCGGTGAAAACCACTCCCATATTGACCGTATTGGCTATTATTTTAGACCATGGTAGAACATGTGGATATATCGTACAGCTACAGGTCTAGTTTTCCAGTCAAGACACGTATCAGGACGTGTATCAAAACATGGGGGTGAGTTATCGTGACTTCTAAGCGGTCCTCTTAACTGATAGTCGTATTATGACCCAGCCTGACCACTGCACTCAAGAACAGCCAAAACTGTAGTCTGCAATTAAGCGCTAAAGCAGAATAAGATTAAGCAGCATATGCCAAACTTTTTTTTTTTTTTTTATTAAAGTCGTGGCCCTATAAGATAGTATGGAATGTCCGGTACCTCTGAAGATGGCTTGGAGTGCCGAAAAGCGGCGTTCGCTACGTTGACGCACGTTGTTTGTTAATTGTGCCTTGATTAAAATTAGGTTCTTCAAATTTAAAAGCTTTTGAACACCGGAATAAAATCTTTCGTACTCAGATATTAGAGATCATATAAATTTAAATGTACAGTTCTTTTCACATGCGCTTATGTTTAGAAGATGCAATACTAAACTGTCCATTTCCTCATATAGCTCATTCTACACATTTCTAAGAACAACCCTTAAGGTATAGTATAATCCTTAAATGTAATTTGTATTGCCCATATCAGTTCGAGTGCTTCATGCTTACGTTAGCGAGATAGCAGATATTATTTTCATCTAAATTGTCTTCTGGAATCAGTTTTTGTCTTATGTATTCTGATGGGTGTCTGCTATTGTGCATCGGAGAAAAGTTTGCAAACAATCAACTTCACCTAATCCCCTTTTTATTGCCTATCAATAAGTAGAAATAGGCCCAATCACTGGTTTATGAACACACACTCAAAGCATAATTTTTATCGGTTTTTTTATGCCAATTATTTTTCAGGTTCGCTTGGTTGCCGATAATGGCACGGTTTTACTCGATGCAAAGATGACAGAAGACAAGATCCCTGGAATTGACACTGATATCGGTCCAGCGTACCTTGCCTTTTCTGCTCGGGGGACAGTGGAGGTTCGTAGAGATGCCCAATGAAGTCTGTTTGCCAGATCTGTTAGTGCGAAATTGTGTGCGTGCGTCGCCCCTAGTTTTGGAGTTTGCTCCTTTTGTTTCACCAAGTGAGTTGATATTTCCTGCATTGCATTCAACAAAGCAGTAGTTGAAATTTGTTTTTCGTTATATTAGTACTTGGTTCATGTATCGGGCAGTTCAGGCTTAAGGTATCTTTATATACAAACGCTAAATAGCTGTTAATTAGACTTTTTTTTTGACAATTTTGTAAGCAAAGAATTTTTACACATAATTAGGGTATGTACTATTAGAAAGGTTGTAACAGATTTTATTTTTGCAGAAAAATTCTAGGGTGTCTTAATGAGCGCTTTGCTAAGAGTGGTGTCATCTGACCATTTCGTTCCCGTCGCTTTTGTTTCTTTTTTTGTTCCTGAGCGCGAGCAAGCGCGTCTCCCGACACGAGCTATTGGCATTGAAAGTGCTACTGCGGCAATTTGTTTCGGCTAACACAAAGAATGACATTATCCTAAGCACATGAAGGCACCCTAGGTAACAGATAAGCCTAAATGACATGTTTTAGAATACAAGTACTCGGCGAAACTTTATTATCTAAAAGCGGGACAAGTGCGTATCCGGGTCAAGTGCTATCTGCTGCAAGTGTCCTAGATAGCAATAGTGAATGGATTATCCCCTCGTGGTCTTGTGTGCAAAATGGTTTTGCAGATAAAGGTACAGCCCCCCCCCTTCCCCCCTTCCCCCCTCCCCCCCCCCCCTCCCCCCCGTAAGCTTACTAGTTTACTCAACTTTGTTGGAGGTTCGAAACGCCTGGCTATTGCAAATGCGGAATGTCTGGAGTTCTTGTCACAGCCTCACAGCCTCACAGCCTCACAGCCTCACAGCCTCAGAGCGGATGCTTCATACGAGTTCTTATTTATGTTCTACCATAGAAGATAATCTTGGTGGTGTTCAATCTGCGTGTTGCAAGCGCTGTAGAAGCTTGCCGTTAAGGCATGCACAGCACCATGCGAGTTCAGCTATGGCCGCCAGTGAATACCGTCCATACTTGCCTGGCCGACGGGTTAATTTGTAACGTTTCTTTTATAAGAGATCTTAGACTTTTGAAGTCATTTTTTGTCTGTATATTGGTTCCGTGCGTCAATAATCCAACACTTGCATAAATTTTAGTTCACAACAAAACCGCATAAAAACGCGTTTTTGTATCTTATGAAGCTGCATAGCGATGTTCACAGAGTTCCGCCAAAGCCTGTGCACGGCTCTACAAAGTTTGTAGTAAGTGAAAACGACATATAGTGGCAGATGGGCAGGTAAACCGAGTATAATCAACTTGTCTAGTGAACGAGTTTTGCAAAACCCCTTCCTTCGCCTCAACACAAAATGGAGTCGCGACTAAAATGGCCAACGTTAGAAGTCGACAATTTGAATGTCCTCTTCCACCATGCGTATTACCAGTGAGCTGAAATTCATCGCGGCTTCTGCTACTCTCGGCGCAGTCAATTTCGCTGAACTCGCCAATTATCAAAGCAATACAAATGAGAATAGAGTTTCAGCGTTCTAACCATATTTTAGAAGTTCAAAAATGTTTGCATAGTCTATGGGTTTTCTTTACAATAAGCTGAGTTTCCCAGTGGCTACTGCTACTGTTAAAGGTCACAGAGCCTTGTGGCTTCCAACAGTGGATCTTGACTCAAAATTACAATTCCCACCATGCCCGTGTGCCACTAGAAGTCGTCAGTCACTCCCAGTCTTCCTTGTCCGTATAATGATGTGGCAGAACATTGTGGTCCATCTCACGCAAGATGAAATTCAGTTTGAGAACCCTGACAAAAATAATGCTGCAACTGTGTAGTCGCCAAAGTGCAAGCCCGCTTTCCCACTAATTAGCACGTGGTTTTCTACAGGCCGAGCTGATATTTGTGAACTACGGGAGGTACGAAGACTTCGACAAGCTTGAAACACTGGGCATCAGCGTCGCTGGGTTCATTTGCCTGGCGAGATACGGCATGGGCACCCGGGTAGAAAAAGTAAGGCAGATATGATGTTCCTTCTCTCGGGGTCATAGAGGCAGTAGGTGTTTTACAGAAGTAGGATTTAATCCTTCCGCATCACTCGTGCACTCTCGACTGCCCGACTGCTCCAGCGAAACCTTCCTATTATGCCGCGGTGTGGCGCTGCGAGAATCACACCAAGAAAAAAAAAGTATTTATTAAACTAAACTCTAAGGCGCTCACAATGTTTTCATATACCTTTTAATGACACTTCAAGGAAAGACCAGTTGGAATTTTGGAGTTTCCAGTTTGCATGTTTTTTTATTGTAGCTTCCGCAATAAATTGTGCTCCTGCGAACCTCGAAGCTCAGTTAAAGCTCCGGGCTGCGGTTCATATCGTCCGCAACTAACTTTCAGAGGCTCCACTTTAACAAATGGAATGCTGACTAAAGTTAAGATGGCAAGAAACTGCGATTGTGGAGGCTAGCTAAAGAATAGCTTGTGGAAAAATGTTAATTATGCACAAGCCATCTAGCAGCTGGAAGTACGTGCTTGCTCAGGCTTTCCGCTTGCGGGAAGCCCTCTGCAGATGTCCCTCAACAATGTAGCCGCAGTTGAGTGATTTTGTTTTAGAATCACTCGGTGGGTAATGACGGGAACGATGAAAACGTTTGTTCATCTCAACACAATCATACTTTCCTCTAACATGCTAAAAATATGGAAACCTACTGAATGAAATGAATAATTCTAGTTTCTGTAAATATGTAAAAAAAATTAAAAAAAATTTTGACGTTTTGAAGTCAAAGGGGAAGAATATGGATCTACCGATTGTTGCTATCCCCGGCTAACGTCAGCAGTGTAAAGTTGCCTTCGGACTTTATTGATGCAATTTTGTGATTATTTTAGTTGTGTTATTAAATTCTGACTACATAATTGCTTAGCCTGCCATGACTGCAATTTCAGGTTCGAATATGCGAGGAACGTGGCGGCATCGGGGCCATACTTTTCGGTGACCCTATGGACATGGCGCCCAAGGGAGAAAATTTCGTGTTTCCCAAGAGTCTTTACGTCGGTGGATCTGCCATGCAGAGGGGATCTCTCGATTTTTCGCAGGACTCGGAGACTCCTGGGTACCCCTCCATACGTAAGCGCAGCTCTTGTACTTATGCATGCTATACTCAATCAGCAAAAAAATGTAACTGAGAACAGATTGTATTACTTGGATGACAACCGGGATTTGAGAACATGGACACGAGGGCTTCGGCAGCGTTCGGCGTGAACTCGGCTCAGCTTTTATAGGACACGAGCGCTGCGTCCGCGTTCGGCGTGGACTCGGATTTAATCACGCGCTTCGTGTTTATGGATGGATGAATGTCAATGAATGTCTCAATGAATGTAAAAAAAAACTCTTTGTAAAGGGCCGTAGCTCTCGCTACCTTGCAGTGTCGAGGGCTAATGTTGCTTGATGAAATTTTGAAAATAATGCATTGGAATAGGCATGACTTTGTTTGGTCAGAGTCTTTGACGAGCTTCATCTAATTGTTTTGCCTAAGTCTGCCTCGATTAGCATGAAAATGGTGCGTGAGTACTACGCAGCAGTTGAAAAACCTAGAGATCATTCGGTGTGCTGACAATTGGATTGTTTGTTCCCACATTATTATGTATCCTTCTGCGTCTCAATTGATTTAACTTCTCAGCTGAAGCAGTAAGGATCGTGGATCCACCTGGCTTGCCCAAGATACCAGCGCAGGTCATTGGATACGACGACGCTCGAGTTCTCCTCAAGTGAGCCAATCTTATTTTTGCATGGTGTCCCTTTTTCCATAGGTGATTACTACTATTTGTTTTTAAACCGATGAGCCTCAAACAACTTACAAGAGGTAATTATGGGTTTTCGAACTGTTCGTATCTGAGGTGTTAGATGGCGAGCTGCATCGACAGTTGCGTATGCGTGTGCGTGGGTGGGTGCGTCGGTGTGTGCATCTGTGTATTATACTCAGAGGTACGCAACGCAATCTGGAAGTTGTTCACTTTTAAAAAGTTTCTTGGCTAACATTGCCTTAAAGAATACACGATTGAACAAAAAGAAGCTCTGAAACAAATCAATATTTTTTTTCCTCCACACTCTCTGTCGCTTCCGCAGTTACAAAATGACAGTTTTTTATTTGAAAAGTTGCTACTTAGGTATAAAACACTATTTCTAGCTGTTGTAGCTGTGCTTTACTGAACAATCTCTAACTGCGTGTACCTTCATTTAATTCAAGCACACTGTATGCTAAATCCTGTCAAGAAAGGGCGAGGCGCGTTCCAACTGCGAATACAATATGGATTTCATATTTGAAATGCTGAAAGTGGTTTACTAGTAAATGAGCATTTCAAAGACAAGACGTCAACAGTAGTAAGGTAAAAAGATTTTTCTTCGAGCTATTTCTCGAGAAGGTAAACGAAAAATTCCAAGTCAAGCGGAGGAAACAAAACGTTTGTATCCACGCGACTATTCCCCTATTTAACGTATTTTCATCATTCTCAATATGGTAATAAAACCTTTTAAGAATGCGCGCTACCTAGTAGCTGCTGCACCAAATATCCGGGTCCACCGTTGTTTGGGTAGGTACTCTGCTCATGTTAATATTGGGCCGGTTGTCTGCGTAAGGTTTCGGCGTGGACTCAGCTCAGCTTGTTTTTAAAACGAGTGCTGCGGAAGCGCCTTGCGAAGATTCGGATCCGATCACGGATTTTGTGCGCAAGAAAAATGCGACCACCAATTTTGCCTGATGAACATTTGAAAATACCTCTTTCCCCAGAGCATTTTTGGAAAACGTGTATACCTCCCCGATGAGACTATCAGCAAATATAGTGAACTGCAGGGATTCTGACAAGGCTACCCTAGTAAGGCGTCAATCCTTGCTGTAATGCCATCGCACGTGTACTTTAATACAAAAGTTTACTTTTTTGCGCGCACGAGTTACATACTTTTCAATCTGTTATATGAGTGAATTGAGCAGGGTAAATTGCTTTTAAAGTACCATTCAGTGAATGAATCCCTTCAAGCAGTTGGTATGTCAGATCGCCGCCGAATCTTCATTTAACAACCACCAAAGAGTGACCCTGACCTTTTTCATCTTAATAGCAGTTGACCGCATCCATTAACACGTAGATTTTTAAAACATTAGTAAGAGTGTGCAAATCGTAATCTGTGTTGAACCTCGAAGTCAGCAAAATACGCGACTGAATGTGCATATAACATGTAAATAATAATCGAATTTCTGCGACACTACACCGAACCACAATGTGCTATTTCCTTTTCATCAACTAGACTGCTTGGAGGACCTGATTGGGCAGTGAAAGGAGGGTTTAATTTCACTTACCGAACAGGACCCTTCGCATCCAGCCACAAGGGAGAGTAAGTAAATTGCTACTTAAATTATACATATGATCTTTCCCAGTTATGATTGTGCGTCATCCTAAACGGACAATAGCCACAATTTAGTCCACAGACAACAGACTCCTGGTCTTGGAAGGAGATTATGCAGACTAATTTTTGTTTTCTCTCTTTGCTAGAAAATTTGCGTCCTGAACTTGAGAAAATAGCATCAAAATTACTACCAAACAGTTTGTCAATGACTTGCTAGGGCGAACCAATTGCTATTCTTTGCTCTCTGAGTAAGATTCCCGCAAATGCAAGAATACATTCTGCTGAATAAATTTCGATTCACGCTAGGCTCTGTTATTTTTGCATGAAACTCAAACTAGTACATAAATATACAATACACTATATGGTAGTTTCAAGGCTGCTTGAAAATAGCCCGTTGAACTTGCCAAGCAGGATGCAAAATCTAACTTATCTTTGTCGGCATGGGCCCTTAAGCGTAAAGCGCAGGAACAGGAACATCATGTGTATTGTTTCTTGTTTTCGGCTTATATTATCGCTTTAAAATGGCGTAATAAATTTGAATTTCTTTTACCGTCATAAAATTAACGCTCGTCGCCGTTTACCTTGCGTGGGTGCGACTCAACCTCAAACAGTCTTTGAACAAATGCCGTAAATACGCAGGCGGCGGCGTGATAAGTATGTAAGTACGAGCTATGAATATCATGAGCCCTTCTGATTGTGTACATCACTGAAACTTTAGTGTTGTCGTAATTTGTGTCTCTATTCGTAACAAATCTGGCGTACAAGTATATTGCTACACCCCCCCCCCCCCTTTTAAGCGTCCATTTTGTAAATGAGGTTTTCAGTTTTATTTCTCTGATACGATGAGCATACGTCGTGCTTTTTGACGAAATATAAAAATGCCAGGGTACCTACTTTTATGGTCATTTGTATCTCGGGTTGTTTGTTTTTTTTTTTTTCTGGGGGTTTATGCTGCGACGACCACGACACGATCTGGTTGTCGCCGAGCTTTTCACCAGTTATCTTGAAATAGTTTAGAATGTCCTTGGCAAGTTTTAAACGGAACTTGCCTGATTGGCGTTTCCTCCTCTCTCTTTCTTGCCCCCCGAACAGGAAAGTACGCCTGAGTGTGAACAACATTATCAAGCGATTGGTGGTTCATGACGTCATCGGGATCATCCGGGGAAGCGTAGAGCCAGGTTCGTGCATCGACCTGATTTACAGGAGCGTTACGCTTCCGTCATGCCGCTAATACGTCATACAATATACAGTCTGCAGCATGGTGTAAGATAGACATGTGGGGAAACGGCGCATAGAAGCCTACCACAGCGCCGTGACCGGATTATGTACACGTCTGCTTGCGGGTTCCCCCGATTTGCGACAGATGGCGCTGCGGCGAGAGGAAAAAAATTGGAATCGGATTTGCATAGAACTTTATGGGAGAGTGCGCAAAATAAACCGAGAGCACGACAGTCCTCCATTGAAAATCCACGAGAAATCATCTCCGTCAGTTTAGCTGGTCGCCACCGGTCGCCCACCCGGAGTGAGAGTTCGCGGTGCTCCACATAGACGGCGCCACGGAAAAAGAGAAAGCCGAAGGGGACACAATCCGGTCGCTAATTTGTCTCTCGTTTCCCCACCTGTCTATCTTACACCCTGGTCTGCAGACACTAGAGAGTTGTAGGGAACCGTGTTTGCACGTTCGATACGGTGCGATGAGCCCTCCGGTACACACTGCGTATGCGCGAGTCTTCTGTGTTAGCGCATGCGCAGTTCGTACCGGAGCACCCATAGTACCGTATGGGAAGTGCAAAGACGGTTCTCTAAATTTATATACTGTCGTGTTTCTTTCTTGTCTAACGGTCAAATCACATTGGTCATAAAAAGAAATATATTCTTTAGACATATTGGAAGCACACATAATCAATAAAAACAAACGTGCTCCGAATATGCTAAGGGTGGTTCCGCATATAATTTTGTCCTCGAGTGTGCAGCCAACACTCGTGTCTTTTTTGTACGACGTACGAGCAATACGTGACCGCGGCATTCAGCGACAGTGTGGACACTCCAGGACATCTCGTGCGTCTACTTTCCCTCAGAACACTAGGGAGAACTAACCGCTCCAATCTATGCGGAGGAAAAATTTCGTCAATGACGCGCTGCGACTATGCTGAGACCTAAAAAAATACAGTTTGCGTTGTGAACGCCAGCATGATGTGCAGGCAAGTGAAACGTCATGCTCACTATCAAAATGCGGACTGTTTTTTTTTTTCTTTTAGGGGCGAAGCTCTTTTGGGGTCTAGCCTTGTCCGTCCGTCCCTCCGTCCGTCCGGCCGGCGTCCGTGGTCACATAAAAAGAAAAAATATTTGCGCAGTCGACAGGATTCGAACCTCTGCGGGGAGACCCCAATGGATTTCTAGTACATTGCATTAACCACTCGGCCACGACTGCGGAACGAGTAGGGGGCTCTGAGATGTGGTAGTAACTCAACAGCTGGGGATGTCATGAATGAAAAGTTGTATGTAGCCGCTCAACGTCTATACAGGAGAGGGCGCTGCGGTCAAATGCGTATATAATCGCGTTAAACTTTGCATGCATTGGATCAACGTTTATCGACGAGAGGGCGCTGCGGTCAAATGCTCAAATGCTAATATAACCACGTTCCATACCACACATTCTCTTTTTGACATGGACCGTTGACTTAAGCGGTGGAGATGCGTTCCCACGGCTTCTAGCGGATCCCAGCTGATCCGCTAGAACAACCACTGGCTCTGCATTTCACCGACCAAAAAGCGGTAATAATAAAGTCGAAACGCAACCCGGAACTCAGCACTACCTATGAGCAATAAAAAAAATCAGCACCATCAGCACTACCTATGAACAATGAAGTCAGTATCATCATCACCACCAGAGCTTCGCCCCAATTAACATTATTCACCACGTAGAGATACGGACATTTTTGTTTTTTAGTTTTCAACGTACGGTCAGCTCGGTCATTCGCCGAGATCCCTCTCCCACTGGATTGCAGTGATTAACTCTCCCATAGTGATTTACGGGGAAGTAGACCTATCATTATTCATACAACGTAATGTACCAAAATCGGAGCAGCTACTTTCAGCGATGCCATGGTATGACCTTTCAAAGATCGAGTTGACCGCATAGCTTTATTTTCTATTTTTTAAGATACTTTGACCTTGCGCAAACAGATTGCGGGAGTGGGATGGAAACACGTACATTGCATAAAATTTGTAGTAACTTGCAGATTGCGAAGTCAACGACCAACAAACTTTATTGAAAACCAAACGCTCTCATACCGCGATCGTTATCCACTGCAGTCCACTGCCTCGCTGCAGGCCACTTGTCTGGCAGAGCACTTCAAGGCCACTGTTTCAATAAACCAAAAAATAGTGCATAGAATGCACGTACTATGGTAAAACCTATAGCCTAAATTATTAAAAAAAATAGATTCGAGAATGATTTTTCACTTTCGTTGACGCCACAACCCGAAAACGCTGTTGTCGCCTGGACCTCTGCGGCGACGCAGCAATAATTGGGAATAACTTAAACGTCTGTTATGTTCTAGTTCGCAGTGTATACAGCCAGTTGTAGGAACCTCTGGTTTTATCATGCCTTACATCAGCAGCTACTACGTCCACTCGTCTTCTTTTTTACCAGCGCTCCTTCGCAGAACCACCGCGACCACAGCTTGTAAAACTTGCCGCAGGTTAACCAAGTCGTTGTTGCAGTTTTAGGGATTCTCCGCAGCAAAGGTAGCATAAGACTTATGCCGACTGCAAGTCCCCTGCATCTTCCACAGGAGTTTCAGTGACGTCAGAACGGCGCCAAGCTCTGATTGGTTTTGATCAAAGTATACTGGGTAGACCTCAATGCTAGATGCCCTGAGGTCTACCCTCAATTTTTTTTTTAGTCTGCCGATAAGAGCTCTGTGTTCTGATATCATCGCAACCCCTGTGCAAGAAGCAGACGAACTTGTGCTCCGCATACACTGTTTTACATCAAGTCCGACCACAACGGAGGTGAAGATTCGACGGCGCCGATCAAGCAGATTAAAAAAGTATGGTCATGGCGGCCGTGGTCTTCGCGCGGTTGCTTCCACCGGTTAAAACATTCACGCTCAGTGATAGCACCGTGATCCTGCGTTCTTATTTTAATGGGCTCGATTGGTTTCGTCGGTAATAGCAAAACGCACAAAGACGACGACCGGCAAGACAAGGCAATTTGGGTGCTGCTTCATTGACTCCGTCGGATCCTAACATTGGCTGCGATCGGGCTTGATGTTAAAGGAATGCTGAACCGAAATTTGGATTTCGCAAGATAAGGCCGCAGAAGCGTTAAACGGGCAGCTACGAACCGCAAAACATCGTGCGTACATCGATATCTCAAACAGATGGCCATATTTCTGGAAAAGAAAGGCGCCATCAAGTGAGGACTATAACGTCACAATCCTCCTGGAAGAGCTGAGAATAAGGAGAGGCGGCTTCGCTTCTCTCCTCCTCACTTCGGTTCACCAGCTCGATTGGACGAATCGAAGAGGAGAGGGAATGAGTACCGTGGACGTGACATATGTCTCGCTGGCCTCGTCGGCCATGTTTAATCGCGCACTTATTTTGTAAAAATACGGCCATCCTTTAGAGATATCGCTATATGATTTATGTTTTTGGAATTTGCAGTCTCCCGTTTAGCGCTCTAGCCGTGTTTTGGGAGCTCCGAATTGCGGTTCACCATCCCTTTAAATCGGGTATATTATCTCCGGAAGAGAATTCGCAGAGTACGAAGGCGTCCTATGTGGTACAGGTCAATTCAGCGTGACGGGCAACCATCACGACGCATGGGGCTTCGGAGCGAGCGATCCGTCATCGGCAACTGCGGCGCTCCTGGAGGCTAGTCGGACCCTGGGCGCCATGGTAAGGCGCGGATGGAGGCCCAGGCGCTCGATCGTCGTCGCCTTCTGGGCCCAGGAAGAGGTCGGCAGGGCGGGCTCCAAAGAATGGGTGGAGGTACGTACGTCCTGTATGCAGTGTGTCACATGCTGCATTTCTGCACCTTCTACCAAATGGCTTGGATCCTCTACGGCTAAAGGCGTGGGTACGTTTGTTTGTGGGGTGCTGCGCAAGTTTTTGTTTTTTTTTTTTCACCGTACTTAGTTGGTGGCATTGTAGCCCGGAGTTTTACAACTGTGCCTCACACCTAATGCCAAATAAGTATGATAATATACCTGAATATATGATAAGCTTCACCTTTTACGATATCTCCTAATTTCTCTCATATAATGTCAGCGCCGTACTAGGTGAAGAAATTAGCTTTAGAAAGTCGTAATCAGGTCAAGGTACAGAGTAAAAAAAATGTTTGGAGCTAATAATGAATAAAATTTGTGCTTTGTGTTTCTTGCAACTACTGATAACCATCGTTATGCTAAAGTGTTTGTCTTTTTGCATGCACAAAATGGGTCTTCCTGTAAAAGAGACGCGATAAACCTCTAGTACTTATCTGCTGTCCGTTACCAATTAACATTTGTCATCAAGCGTAAACAGAGCTGGAACTGTCCGCGAAGCCTTACAGATGTACAAGAAAGCAGTAAGCCCTTTTTAACTACTGTGAACGAATTTGTTTTTAGGAAAATATCTGCTTGCTGACTCATGGCGCTGTGGGTTACGTCAACATTGACACTTGCGCTGATGGTGAGCTTACACGGTGTTTCTTCGAATCTAAATAATCTTCCCGCTTCAAGCATTTTTTTTGCGTGTTCGTTCTTCAATGCTAATCAATCGGACTCTCTCTAGAAGCCCGGGGAAGCGTTACTGGAAATAACATGTGGCTTCAGAAAGCGTTTATTTTTAACAAATACTCCTTCAAAGTCCCCTTCCTACAGTACAGAGGAAAGGCACAGGCGCGTCCTCCTATATACTCGGGGAAAACTTTTTTGTAGCGTTAGCTACACTGGCCGAGGTTGACCAGTTTCGCGTGGCCCTCATAACGAGCCGGGCTCATTATGCGAGCCGTGCTCATTATGCGGAGCGCGCGGCGGCGGCGGCGGAGCTGCGCATAATGAGCACGGCTCATTATGAGAGCCACGCGAAGCCCCCTCCGCGCGCTCTGCTGCCGACGCGCCCGCCTCGCCCACCTTGCCGGTCTGCGCATTCCAGAGGAGTGACGTCATAGCCGCGGCAGACGCACTGGCACCACCACGCGCCCAGCTGTGCGCCTCCGTTGCGCAGTAGCCAAGTCTGACGCTGCACCGGAGCCGCTTGAAGCGTCTCTCGTTTTGTGCGCATAAGGTCATGCTACGTATATCCTGGGATAGCCGAGCTAAGCCACCGCAATTTTTTTTTTAACAGTTCAGGAGTAAATACCGCGCGTGCGCAACATTCATCGGTCCCTTGACACGGTAGCTCTTGACAATATATTGACAACGCTGCTGGGATTTACGTCGAAATACGACTTCGAGTCACCAAGACATCGTGGTTCGAATATCGCATACGGCAACCAACTCAAAGAGTAGCCTCGCACCGTTACGTACAAAGCCCAGAAGTCATGGAAGGTCACAGTCGTATATTGAGGTAACCGTTTGTAGTCGACTTTTCACCTCGTTTCACTGGCGAAACGATTGACTATACGTGTCATGACAGATTGTGCTCCCATAGTTCCTTCCGTTCCCACTTTTCTACACTCGTAGTCAATTTCTTTTGTGCCATCGTTCTCCAGCACAATTCAATTTTCTAGAATCCTGTGTAAATGACGGCTGCTAGAGCACACAACTGATATATGCACATTGATCTATTATGTATTACTAATGTCAAAGGACGCTTCATTTGACAATAAAGTACAATTGAGAAATTGCGTTACATCATTGTCCTTAATGTTTTATAAAGTACTAAACGTTCTATTATGCCGAAAATGATGTCGTATTTTTAGTGAATAGTATTTTTAAATGACTTGACCTTAAACATTACTTTAACAGTTTAACTTGGACCAGGGGCAGATAAGGCAGACTAGTTGATGCGAAGTCAAATATTAAAATGATTCAGCCGCTTTCTACGTGCACGTCAATGAATGATGAATTCATCATCACTTTTCTCTTATCACCAATAGGTGGGACGACCAGTCATTATTGGACATTCATTTCACCTTTTTGTATTAGGTATAAGGCCAAATTTTACTCGTAGATTTTTATTTTAAATGCAGGTCCCCTGTTTGCATCGGAGGCCTCGCCATCGCTACGTAACATTATCTACAAGGCAAACGAAGTGGTAAGACAAATGCTACCTTAGATCGATACTTGCGCTCACGTCTGAAGGCTGTAAGTGCAGTGCAAGCCCGATCTGCAGCTGGGTATGCTCAATTAAAAACAATGCGGTTGATGGGAACCGTACCCCTTATTACCGTGTGAAAAACGTATGACATGCAAGTAGAACGCAAAGATAAATTTTATGTTTGCACACGCAGCAGGCCAGAACGACACCTATAGGAGCACAAGCTTGAGGAACCGTATTAGACTTGGGTCTTATGCGGTTTAGCTCCAAGGCAAAAGTTAGTGTCAAAGTATTTTTTCGTTCGCGTTTCCATTGCTCTTTATTTTTTTTTCCACGTATGATGCGAGGGACCAGCATGGAAGCCTTAATCTGGCACTTGTTTGGACAATTAGGCCCAAAGTTGCCATATAATAATCAAACAACCAGAATTGAAGCCTAACTCTGACGCTTGTTTAGCGATTTGATTTAAGCAGAGAACTTCCAAATGGGGGCGCCCAACTTTGGTACTTATTTGGTGAATTAGGGCAATTATATACAGACTGAGGCCGCACAAGGTTAAGTTTGGCTCTGTCTTGGCTTCGTACTTTTTGAGGCCCTAAAAACCACATTTTGAACAAAACACTTTGCCAACTGGGTGGCCATGGTTTCCCACCATTCTTTCCTTGTCAGATGGCACAAATTGGCATTGTCTTTTTCCGCGGCTATTTAATCATTCGGCACAACATTTGATTTTGAAAACAGTGTAACCGCACGGGATTTCGGAGTTTATAGGTTTAGGTGCCGTCAACACACAATAACGATCGAACGCCCTATTTGCACGGTTTAGGGTCGGTTGAAACATGCGCATACCTTGCAGCCACCTAATATATGACAGTGCCCGAGATAATACAGTATAGTTCCTATAGTCGCTTACATGTTAAAATGCAGCGAAGAATGCTCATTAAACAAATTAAAAACAGTGAGCCAGCGAATCTCGTGCACCTGTTTTCCTGGCGTCGTTGATTTCACCGCCCTGCGAACGAGTGCTTTTTTTTTTTTTTATGGCAGCGAGTTTTTTTATAACGCCGTTATTGTCAAGAGGTGGCGGTTTCTCGAAGTAATGTTTCTACTCTCTATCTACCCGGGTTTATGTCATGGAGCTGCGCTGCTACCTGCTTTCTTGCGATGTACTGTTTGTAAGAAGACGTGGGAATTCAATGGTAATGTCGCCGTCGAAGTGTTCACTGTTCCCGCTTGGCGGTTTACTTGTAAAAGGAATTGCAGATTGCCTATTTATTTTGGTAGTCGGACTCATGCATTGACGACGCACGCGAACGAAAGTCTCGTTATGACCGAGATCGTTTTTATGAGACAATTAGTTTTTGTTTGCTCTATTGCAGTTTCCTGTCGTTCAGACGACATGTGCGCGAGCCACGAACGACTGTCAGGAGGCTGACATGTCAAGGTAAAGTTGGCATGCTGCACGTCTTACCCCATTTGCAGTCCGCGAAAAAAAAAAAGCTGTGTATTAGCGAGTATATTAGTCGACATATTCCTATAAACCTTTACTTTAACCTCTTGGTTGGTAAAGTCACGAAGAGAACCCTAAAACATTCATACCTAATTTGAAATTAAAACCACTCTTTGTCATCATGACGAGACTCTAGGCAAACCATCGCCACGGGTACCTTAAAAAAAATGCGGAACGTGGCAAGTCGCGAGCACCTTATTATCGCTCTATAACCAATAACATCGTGACATTGGTCAATAAACACGCCGAGGAACAAATAAAACAGGAAATGTGCACATGTGGCCTTTCTTGTGCTGTAAATGACTATAGCAGATGCGCTATTTTGGATATGAATAGAGAGCTTGAGGATGCCCCACGGGATTATACAAATATATATATATATATGTTTACAGCGGTCTCAAAAAAAAAAATGAGTCTTTTTTTTTCGGCTAAAATTAATTACGCATTACCAAGTGATCCTTCCCCGCCCAAATGTAATTCTAGGGGTTCGAACCAGATATTATATTATTCAAAATTCATAGGGCCACTTTTCGCTCGTTTTCGGCAACTGGCACCAGAGCTGCATGCATTCAAGAGGGCTGTCGCCAGCCATTTTGAAATTGGTAGTTAAAAAAAGGAACTTATTTTTGAATAGAATACCAGCTAGTGCTGAATATTTGGCATCTGGTTTGGACCCATAGCGCTACATTTCGTCAGTGGATTAGCGCTCGGCAATGCGTAGTAATTTTCGTAAAAAAACTAATTGTTTTCTTCTTTTGCTTTTTTTTTTCTGGGGGGGGGGGGGGGGGGGGGGATGGGGAGTGGACAGAACGTGCTCATGGGCTGCATTTTACGCGAAAAGTGTCACGCTTGAATCTGGCCACCCTATAAATGCCAAGTGTGCCCAACCGACGCCCTGGCATCTTTAAGAGTAGTTGAAAAATTCTTGCCATTGACAAAGCTTCGGCATCGTGTTTGGTTAAAAAGAAAATTGCCTTGAAATGTTGTAGTTTACTGTGTACGTAAGAAAAGGTCAACCTATTGTATTACTCTCACAAATCTTTTCAGTTTTATTGACTTGCCCGGCCAAGCAAGTGACAACGTCGTGTTCAACACCTTCGCTGGAATACCGTCAGTGGACATCTTCTTCAAGCCAGACCCAGTCTGTACCGTCCTTTTTTAAATTCTTGTCTGCTCATATTATAGTATTGGGCAACTACTACCACTTTCATAATATCTCTTCTAAGAAACATACATACTGTCTAAAGTCACGCCGTGATGCACTGTAGTTTGGTTATTTCATTTTCCGCTAACGGATCAGGCTTCTGAATATCCCGTAGGCGGCCAGCGTTTTAATAAGACCCCTCACACTATAAGTTTTTTAGTGAAACGTCTGCCTACCTCCCGAGTCACCCTCGCAGATCCCTTGTTCGGGTCTTTCCCAACATTTTTCGTTAGTTAATTGTGTTATGGTAATCCATCGCGGATGTCGCTCCTTTACGACACACAATGTTCCCGCCGGTGTGCATTCAAGCCTTCTCTAATACGCAGAAAGTAGATGGAGTGTCTTTGGCACCCTACTACCACACGGCCTACGAGACACTGGAGCTTTACCAGAGGTTCGTGGACCCGGACTACGCCATTATGGAGCGGTGCTCACAGCTTGTCGGTGCCTTAACCCTGTCCCTGGCTGAGGCCGAGCTGCTGCCGTACAACATGGTGGACCTCGGACAGGCTCTCCAGGAAGGCTTCGGTGATCTCCAGACCCACCTTGAGGACTTCGCGGCGCACAATGTTTCCGCCGGTGCATATTCAAGCCTTCTATTTTGACGTCATCTGAGAGCGATATTTGGTTGCGGTTGTTATATACTTTCTGCAGCATTATAGTTTTGTATGCGCATACTCTCCTGAAGTGCTGGATAATATTGTGTTACAGGTGGACTGGAAACTACAATCATTGATCGTACATAAATGTGGGACAGTGTAAGGGTGGACAGATAGAGCGTTGCCATGGTGGTGGAATCTCGGTGGTAATAAGAGATGTCCGCATTGAGTATTTCCGATTGCCTGCATGCCAAACGCGGCGAGGGAAGAAAAAGATAGAGAGAAAGACTCCCTAGTAAAGATTGACGCCCTAGCAACGGCGCTCACGCCGGATTGGCTGCTTGGTACCGCGCGGGAACTTGGATTTCGGATTCGGACGGCGCGTGTATCACTGGGGAGGTCGTTAACCTAACCCCCCCCCCCCCCTCCACACCCCCCGGCCTGCGTTCACGACGCTTCGCGGCTACTGTATGTGGCTGCTAATTACAAAACTATTAACCCACTTAACCCCCCCTCCCCCCCCCCCCCCCCCTTCGCGGCGTCCAGCCGGCAACCCAAGCCCTGCTGTCCCCCATGCACCTCCGGAAAGGGAGTCCCATACCATTCAATTGAGCAAAGTTTCGTCAACAACATTCGTTTCTTTTCTTTTTTTCAGTGTTAATGGTAAAAAAGAAATGTAAATATCGCCAAATGCCTCGACGAAACAAAAAGTTCGAGAAAAAAATAAATATGTAAGCCCAGACTGGGGGGGGGGGGGGGATCGAACAGGGGTCCAATGCGAATGAGGCAGACGCTTTAAAACTAAGCTACGCTACCGCTTCGTAAACTAGTTTTAACCGCTGCCTGTGTTAACGGTGGCAGCGTCTATCTCCACGAGCCTGCCAATCCGGCATGAGCGCCGTTGTTAGGGGCGTCTATCACTTCATTGTGTCCTCCTCTCCCTCTTTTTTTTCCTCGCCCCGTTGCGGGTTCAGGCAATCGGATACACGCGTCCGCATGTGTGCTTATCAAAGCAGAGCATCGCTTACCCTTGTCACTGAACGTACTAATTAATTAATATCAGTAATTGACGTTTCAAGCACCTTCTAAAAAAAACTATACGTAAAAATATTGGTCAAAGTGGAGTTACACATGACTCGCCAAAGTAATCTGCGTGCCTCAGAGAGACTGACGCCGATTGGCTATAAGTCTTGTCTTCCTCGGTGCTTCATGATCCAGAAAAATCCTGCGCGTAGATATACTTCTCCCAGTTTCATTTTCATACACTGAATATATTATTTCACTGCTGTCGTTTTCAACGTTAACTAAGCAATGCCTGACGCTAGAAGAACAACATACGACTACTGCTCGCAGAAAATATTTTTTTTTACACTTAGGCGGCAGAAACAGGCAACAAATGAAAGCAATGGTGAACACGCGACACCGCCAGGAAAAGGTTGCCAAACAATTGAAAATGTTACATCGTCGAGCACATTTGTCTGTTCGTTGCTCTAGGGGGAATGATAGACGTTGACTACGAGAGTGCGGGATTCTGTTACACGCTCTTCCAATTTTGTGTGATGATGGTCCGTGGCCCTCGCTGAGTAAATTACTGCAGTCTATCTAGACGGGGTTTTTTGGTTGTTTTTTTGCCTTATAGCCGGCGGAACGTACTGTGTACACCGCAGTAATTGGTCCAGCTTGCCCATGATCTCTATGTTAGCGAACAACTGTCTATTATGAAATAGGTTTTTCATTAGTCCAATACATAGGTAATATGCCAGAACGCAATTAAACCTGGTAGGAAATATTCCAAAAATACTAAGGTGGCCACACTTTGGGAGATGATTTGTTTCTTTTTGTTAGTGAGTAACTTGAATGAATGTCACGCAGAGAGTTTTGGTTTCCGTATCTCTTTTCTGGGACCATTAAGACAATAAAGCGTGGGTGTATTTAGTAAATATTTATCCTCCCTTTGTCAAAGTTAACGGTTACGACATACTAACTGTTTAGCGCATGGAGCATGCGCGACGAAAAGGCTCGAAGACGATGTGAGCGCTTTTTTGCACGTCACAAATGAATGTAAGTCGAACACTTAATTTTGTCACCCTGGATGGGGCCTTAAAAGGGCACTACTTGCTTTTATCAGCCCCTTCAGACATTTGGAAAAACAAATGGTAGATGTCACTGATATATACTTGGTGAAAACTATGATACGATCTCTTGTAAGTAAAATCTACTTGGCGCAACTCAAACATAGCTACTGCGTAAGCTTCGACACCTCCCGCCTTCGCGGGAAAATAATGTGCACATTACTGACACCTTTTTGCTTCTTCTACAGATTGGCTCAAGAAAGAAATCGAACTGTTTGTGCAAGAAGCCGATTCCTGGCACAAATGGATTTCGGACCGCAAGTCATTCGAGTAGGTGTTGAGGGCCTGCGTCATTTTTATTACTCGCATCGGGTAATTACGGGAATTTTCGCAATTCATTTTCAGCCTCGGGACGCTACGTTTTGTCAACGAGCGCATGATGTTAGTAGAAAGGGCATTCATCAAGGCAGATGGCCTGATGGGGGATATAACCATAAGGTAAGTGGCATAATGAGTCTTACATCTCTGAGCTCTATTATAAGCAAGTTACCTCTCTTGGTTAATTTTAAGATTGATTTTTGTAGTTGAATTAAGGCTGAAAACGTGGGAGTCAAATTGACTTCCTTCTGCATATTTGTGTTTTCCGCGTTTCCGCGTATAGAGCCGTCGCCGTCGGCTTAACCGCCCGCTAAATTTTAGCGGGAAATTGAATTGGTGTTGAGGTTACGTGACGTCAATTTTCCCGTTAAATCTAGCAGAGAAACTGAATTTATTTATAAGTGACGTGGCACGAAGCCATGTGACGTCATTCTCCCTCCGAAATTTAGTGGAGAAACTGAATTGGTGTTGAGGTTGTGTGATGTCAATTTACCAGCTGAATTTATCGGGGAAATTGTCGGAGAAGGAAGAGGGGAGGAAGAGGAGCATACCCTCCCCTCCGTACCCTCCCCTCCTCCTCCTCAAGAGCCTGCGCTCTACTTTCGCATTACAAATTTTTAAACGTCTTTAATTTTTTGCGAATGGAATAGATCAATGTTTAATTAATTCCAGAAACTAAACTATACGTTAATTACACTTTTCCAGTTGTTGACGGCAGCCCCAAGGGCGTAACTTTACTTGTGCTTTCATCCGGGTAACTTTCGTGAAGTACTTGAAGTACTAGGTGGCTAGCTATTGTGCCACTTGACCTACATTCACCTCTGTACTCTCTTGAACGTATACGATGTGCTAATTCACTTAAGTCGGACATTGAAGCTCAAGGGCGCACACTTTAAAGCTTTCTCGCGTTGGACGTTTTTTTTTTTTAATGAATTGACCATTTAGGGCAAGAATCTAGAAAAAGGATGTAGAGGGTGCCCCAGTAACACTATCTCTCTCCTTCAGAACTTTCGACTGAGGTAAAAAGTTGACAAAATCATAAATAGCTTCTAGGGCGTGAAAGTAGTTTTACCGCACTCGAAACAAACGAAAGGCATTACTAACGTCAAAATGACGCCAACTCCAGCCTGAATAGAGAGCTTCAAAGCTTACGATTAAAAAAATTAAAAAGTGGAACAATTGTGACTGTGATGGACAGGATGAGGGCACGGCTCTTCGCGCTGATGAAGTTCGTTCCATACACCAACTCAACTCTATGACGTCACGCCACAGTGGGGGCGCTGCTGTAGGGACTGCGCACGTGCAGTCGCTTAACCTCACGCGAATTCGGTCTCTGCGCATGCGCACTGCCCACGCCTACTCTGGACAAGCGCGAACTTGCTCGTAAACAGCATGTTGATGTACATCCCCGTAACTGACGCGGCGCGAAAAAAGGTCGCTAAGGTTTTTTGTTCATTTTTTGAAGCGCGTTTTATACACCAGCTCATGTCTGCAAACAAACCGGAGCGCCCCTAGCGGACGCCAGCCGCGCCGCGCATGTGCGATGGAGTGTGGGCAAGAGGCTCGCCGTCGCCGGTAAACAAGCCATTGGAATGCGATGTTGTCGGCGTGGCTGTGAGACCCCTGCCCTTTTTCGCGGTCGAATTGTTGATTCTACGTCTTCCTGGCAATATCTGACTACTTGAGCGGCCTCAGCAAAATTACAAGGCTCGTTACACCGCAAAACTTCGTGTGAATAATGCGACATGCGGCGGCGCTTCATTCCGCTAGGACGCCGCAGAATGTACGCTAAAGCCTGATTCGCATGATATTTCGCTCGCAATTTTCAGTCGTGACGTCGCTCGGGTTGCAAAAGCATGAACCGCAGCTGAGATGGTTGACGTCGATAATGAAAATCGCAAGCAGAATCGGACCAAGTGAATCAGGCATAACAACTCGGTGACGGCCGCTGGTAACAATAATCAACATCTCCTTGTATCTACTGTTTACATCGAGCCTGCTTATCAACCTTCAAACTTAAGCCTTTTGAGGCCTGCACTTACTTCTTATCGCAAGTACCGGGCCAACATTTGGTCTACGGGCCGGTGTTGTCTAAAAGAGCAGACGACAAGCAGAAACGTTTGAAAGAGCAGACTACAGCTCGTTTGAAAGACGACAGACGACACTTCGAACGATCAGGCGGCCGTTTCAACTTGAAGACGCACTGAACGTAGTCCGCAGGTGGTCCGTACTACTTGACGGTCTTGCAGCGTTCATGTTTTAACAAAATGAATAAATCTTACGACCACAAGTATCCGTGAATTCAACCCAAAGTGCACAAGCAATTGTGGTCCGACAGCGTCTAGTTTTTCCTTTTCACAGCACATATCCACGTTCTCAGACGAACTGAGCACATGAAAACTGACCTTCAAATCTTTTTCGACTTTTTTGGTACAGCCCCAGTCGCGGCGTTTTGACGGAAAGGCAGGTTTTTGTCTGGTTCTTTTCAAGACAACGCAGGAATACACGTCTCCCATTCGGACTTCTGCCCGCAGCCCCAGACCGAAAGTGCGCCCGACGCGCCACCACCGCGCCGTGACGTAACAGAGATGAGTTCGTGTATACACGCTTCGCATTCCATCTTTTTTAGAGTGCAGCTCTTAGGTGCCCGTTTCCGGCTTGAGCGGCGTCGCCGTCTACGTGGCCGTCGCCGTCGCCGTAACCAAGGTCACCACAAGGTCACGCGACACCCTCCCAAGGTCACGTGACCCCCCAAGGTCACGTGATCCCTCCCAAAGTCACGTGACCCCCCCGGTCACATGACCCCCCGTGACCCCTTCCAAGGTCACCTCAAGGTCACGTGACCCCCAAGGTGACCCCCACTTGATTCCCCAGGTCACGTGACCCCCCAAGGTTACCCCAAGGTGACGTGACCCCCCAAGGTTACCCCAAGGTGACGTGACCCCATGGTCACGCGACCCCTCCCAAGGTCACCTCAAGGTCACGTGACCCCAAGGTGACCCCCACGTGACCCCTCAAGGTCACGTGGCCCCCTCCCCGAGGTCACGTGACTCCCCTCCCCCCGAAGTCACTCGACACCAACCCCGAGGTCAGGTGACCCCCCCGAGCATATTAAAAAATGAGGGGAGGAGGAGGAGAAGGAGGACGAGTAGGGGTCTACCCTCCCTTCAGTATCCTTCCCTCCTCCTCCTCAAGAGCTTCGCTCCAATTCGGCATTACAGGGAGTTGTAAACGGCTTTCACTTTTTTTTAGCGAAACACCAGTGAAACTGAACTAATTAAACAGTCAAGCTAAGCCGATCCAAATATTACTAATTATTGTTGTTTCATGCGCATGTCAGTACCGCGTACACAGCGGGAGGTATACAAGTGCTCAATTTACAATAAAAAAAGCAATGGGCCTGACGATTTCACATGTTTATGTTCGTGCACACGTCGCATTTTTTAAAGTCTAATCGTGTAGTTGATTTTACATTCGCTGAGATTCTTTTATTGTTCGCCGGGGATTCGTTTTCTTTTTAATTTTGAGTGTGTATGTTCTTCAGGAAGACTAGTGAAAAAGCCATTTGTATCAGAAATATTTGGTGTCCAATAAACCCATATGAATAATATAAGATATATAAGAATATATAGGAACTATATAAGGAACTATATTAGATCTATAGAAGATACATAAGAACATATAAGAACCATATAAGAAACGCATAAGAAACTTTTCACAAGTTTCTTAACTGGTTCTTTATGTTCTTATATATCCTATATAGTTCTTATATATTTCTTATATGGATCTCATATGGTTCTTATATATTCTTATATATCTCGTATAATTTATATGTGTTTATTGGACACGCAAATCTCTTTGTCCAATACAAATTGGATACAGAAATATATACAAATGAGATTTTTCAATAGGGAAAGCGAACTAAAAAACATTTTATTTTTGTAGTAGTCCCGCATCTGCGGCACCAAACCTACACATGAGGTGTTGGTAAATCAATAAGTATACGTTTTCCGCAGGCACGTGGCTTTGGGTGCATCAATGGAGGGCTCTTACAAAAGCGTGATATTCGCAATGCTGCGGCTTCAGCTTTACTACGTGTCCCGGATGAAGCCCGGTTCAAAAGAAGCGGCCCAGGCCTGGTTTGATATTGCGAGACACGTCAACGACATCGCCCTTGCCGTTCGGTCTGCTCGAATGATGATGGACCCGAACAGGGCTGTCTAATGTTAAAAATTAAATAAAGGGCGCGTGATATTTTTGTGAGCAAACATCCCAGCTAAAAAAGATCCCATGCTGATGTAGTAATAAATAGGGCATTACGGCGGTTTGCCTGGATGAGTTTTAAAACATTACATAAGGCTTCTAATTTATAAAAAAATATAGACCTTGTTGTTATTGAAGTAGCGCATTTATAGACATTGCGGGACTTGAGTAGAACTGATAAGTATAATCACCAAATGTAAATGAGTCACTGTGGGTTTTTGTATACCTAAAATGTACGACGTATCTTCCAATGCGATCGTGAATCAGTTCTGTAGCAATTCGTTTTATAAAGCATGATACCACTTGGTCAATACACATATAGTATCCAATTTCTTAGAAACTAAAAAATCTTCAGCTAGCAAGTTTATGTTTTCGCGATCTTCGGAATAAATGCACCCTAACTACAGCTGCTACTACGTTAACTACAACTTACGTCTCACTCCTATAACCGTCAGGTAGCTTTCCGACAATCCGAGCACTGTCCTCACATGTAAAATAAAACATGTTCTTTTGTGCTTTGTTGGTTACATGTCCGTTACATATGGCACTGACATCATCATGTCTGCGAGTAATGTTTCTTGTTATTTCGTTTAGCGGGACAAGACAACTACCTCGCATGTGCGTCGCAGTATACTGCTTGCTGCTACAGACACACCTTCTGTAACTTTCACCACTTAAAAACAAAAATCACGAAATAACAGTTAACAAAATGGATAACTGGGCGAGTTGGTAGATATTCAAGATTGAAACCGCACGACTGGACAAGGAAACAGCGAGAAACTGGAAGAAACGAAACACGTCGATGAAACAGCGTCTGTTTCGTCCAGTTCGTCGCTCCGTCAGTGTTCAGTCGCACTGTTTCAATTATGAAATTAGGTTGTTACTGTCACGGTACAATCGCACGTCCTCGCTGCAACGGCTTCCACCACGTTTGTCTAAGCGGTTAACAACATAGCTAGGTCAAGGCTGTACCTGTTTAAGAGACGGGCTCCAATCACTTTAATATTCGCTGCTTGGCTTGTGTTTTCTAGCTGATGTAACTGATGTTCAGATAAACTCCAACTCCATATATTTCGTTTCAAATGACGTCTGACCGAAGCCAGCGTTAGTATCCGATGGAACACGTCAAGCAGCGCCAAAAGTGAATCGTCACGACCTTCGTCGTTTTTATTTATTCCTAGAACCACCTCTAGAATCCTATAGAATCACGCAGCATGCACCGTGCGTGATTTGCTTAGCCAACGATAGGAAACGCACGCACAAAATAAATTACGGCTGTGTACGATAACTGTGTGCTTGTTTGCGGCTGCTAAGGCACAAGGCGTGGTGGTTGATTGCGGAATAGGCCTGACGCTCTTTCAAGTCTGAAGAGCACCTCTGGCGAGCAAAAATATCATTGTTCGGTCACATCTCGGTTTGTGTTTCATTAAGTCGGGGCTGCGCTGCTCAAACATCGCACAAAGGAGTTTCTCCGAACAAGCGTCGGCGGAAATATCCGCGGTTCGAATGCCGCGTGCCAAGTTTTCTTCTCAAACTCATTCCCATGCGGCATTTGAAGCACGGATATCGCCGTGTCTCGCGTTCGAATCTGTGTGCACACTGTTTTTTGTACAACGTATAAGCAGTGCTACATAGGCTTTACGCTTTGTCACGTCGCTTGCAGACGCTAACCTGGCAGAATTTCATTGATGGGTATAAATTCGCGGAATAAAATAACACGAGGAAGAAATTTACAAGAAAATCACGCTTACCGTTTTCTTTAGACACAGAAAGCGCGATTCCCATTTTAGAGCGCAGCTCTTAGGCGCCCGTTTCCGGCTTGAGCGGCGTCGCCGTCGCCGTCGGCGTAACCAAGGTCACCCCAAGGTCACGTGACCCTCAAGGTCACCCCAAGGTCATGTGACCCCTCCCAAGGTCAGCCCAAGGTCACGTGACCCCTCCCAAGGTCACCTCAAAGTCACGCGACCCCCAAGGTGACCCCCATGTGACCCCCCAGGTCACGTGGCCCCCCTCCCCGAGGTCACGTAACCCCCTTCCACCCCCCCCCCCCGAGGTCACGTGACCCCCTCCCCACCGAGGTCAGGTGACCCCCCCGGACCATATTAAAGAATGAGGGGAGGAAGAGGAGAAGGAGGAGGGGGAGGGGTCTACCCTCCCCTCAGCACCCTTCCCTCCTCCTCCTCAAGAGCTGCGCTCGAATTCGGCGTTACAGGGAGTTGTAAAAGGCTTTCACTTTTTTCTTTCGTATCTTAAGACTATTTCGTAGTTCTTTCAGACACCCTGTTACTGCGCGCATGCTGACGGAGACGCCTGCAAATCAATGTGGATTGCGCATTATCGAACGCTGTGCAGCTCCGTTTATAATGCTTCATGCAGGTATCACACGGTTACATCTTAAATTACGCTCTCGCGTCCCCTGAGTGAGAGAAACAGAACTATTGGTGAAACTCGCCCCTAACGGAGTAATCGGAAATAGTTTAAAATGAACACCCGTAAAAAAACAAAATGAGTGAGAGTGCAGAAAGGGAAAGAAACGAGGAGTACAGGTGATATTCGTTCAGGATATTGGAAACACCCTCTGCACGTTATTTCACACAAGAAAATAGCAATCAGAGGTCAGAAGACGCGGAAACGCGTACGTTAAGGCCGCAAAATCACGGCAAGTTTTCTCTAAAAAATAGTCAGAGTGCAGGCGAGCTTCTGTAAGTTGAAAATGATTGTAAACCTGAGACTGGGGCAGAAAAGAGAACACAACAGAAGGTAGAAAAAGAGGTGGCAACGTCTCAAACTCAGCTGCAAAGTTTGCCCCAGCCTCAGGTTTACAATCATGTTCAAGTTTTCTCTACTTGGTTTCCTTGACCTGCGGCCGCACTGCAAATACATCACACGAAAGACACTCTGCAGCCAGTCGAGAGTTTTAGGGAACCGCTTCTGCACATCCGATTCGGTATACGAGGGGCCTTCCGGTTCGAACTGCGCATGCGCTGCCACAGAAGACTCGCGCATATGCAGTTCGTACCGGAGGGCCCCCTATACCGTATCGGGTGTGAAAAAGAAAACGGTTCTATAAAACGTTTGACGGTCTGAGGCGTGTTCCTTTTTTGCATATGACGGTTTTGTAAAGTTTTTCACACACAAACTTCTCCGCAGGTATGTCAGAATCACACAAATGTACGAAGCAAACGTGGTTCAAGCAAGCTGTGTAGGCTCGCCCGAGGACACATATGTCATCATGTGTGCAGACTGTGTCTTTCGTATAACGTACAAGCTGCGTGACCGCGCTGAATTTGCCAAATCCCCTATCCGATCGAGCAAATCAAGCAGAGCCAAAAAAAAAAAAATGCATAGTCGCAGCGGTCATTGTTATTCTGCGTTTTCTATCACGAACTAGAGACCAATCGCGCAAAGTGAATGTGCCGCAATTCTACGCGAAATGCTTTTAGCCGAAATAGAGATTCTCTCAATAATAAGGTCAGTTCAAGAGAAACAGGCCTCTTCGGAAGCAAATATAATTCAAATGCAAAACAGAGTTCATGCAACACAACTTGGATGAAAATCGGAAGACTTGATATCGGAACTGGAAAACCGTACCACGCGGAACAATCTCTTTGTGAGGGACATAAAAGAAGAGGGGACCGAAAAGAAAGATCTTTTTATGAGAGAGAGAGAGAGAGAGAGAGAAAGAGAGAAAAAAAACTTTATTAAAGCCACCCATGTCGGGGAGTGTCCTTATGAGAAAGGTAAATAATGCACAAGTTAGTAATAATTAAAATAACAAATCAGCTCTGTAAAAAAAAAAAAAAAAAAAAAAAAAAAAAAACGTAGTTTAGAGAAAAAGACACCGGGTCGGGATCGTTTTACTATACTAACGGTTTCGTACTTCAGAGAAAAGATTACTAAGTTGATTTAAGTTTACATATACACAACTCTACCCCCAAAGCCGATTTAACTTTTCGCCAATTGGATTATGGAACTGGAACTTTTATTGGGTTCAATCTGGATTTCAGGTTTTTCCGAAATTAGACCTCTGTATCTGGATTTCAGTTTTCCACCAACAATTACAGTTAGATATCAAGTAGCATAATCCTGATACCGAAAAGTTATATTGAGTTTTAAAAGAAGAAAATCGGCATTAATGAATACTTTTCAGGAAGAGCTGTAGAAATAACAAAGAAAAAATATGGAACTCTACTCCAGAAGAGACGCAAAAATGTGCGGAAGTCGAATTACTATTTTATAAGATAAGACTCAATAATGTTTTGTACGCTTGGAACGACATTAAGAACGGGAGATAAAGGTGCGATGTGCCCCCAGGAGCTAATAATGATTGACGAAAACAAAGGAATCCTATATGCTTTAAAATTGCGAATATAAACACCAAAAGTATTTTGAACAAGACAGTCAATTTTGAAAGTGCCATTTTGGAGGATGAACTTGATATTATTAGAATTAAGGAAACCTGGTTTCATAAGGCTATTTTCGACTCAGAGGTTTCGCAGTCAAGCTGTACGATAGCACGGAAAGACCGAGGAGTAAGAGGCGGCAGTGTTGCAATCATGGTTTTAAAAGATTTGGTATTTTCTGTCCTTTGTGATGTGAGTGATTTGTTCAAGTGTTGTGGACTAATTTAGTTGATTACCCATACAGTCTACATTGGAGACATATATCGACCTCCCAACTCATCAGTTGATGTACTAGATAAACTAAAAAAATTATATATATATCTAAATTTCAGTATCCAAGATAACATGATGTAATTATGCGATTTTATATTATCTTGAATTGATTGGATTACAGATTCTCCCGGAAATATTGAAGCAGCTAGTTACAGACAATTATTAGAGCTCCGTTTTTGCAACAATATAACTCAGGTCGTAACAGATTACACCAGAATATTCACCACAGCGTCATCAATTTTATACCTAATTTTGGTTTCCAAGCGGTTAAAATCCTTTTTTTTT